CTCCAGGCACCTAAGATCTCAGGGCACAGGGCTACAAAGTCCTGAGGGTGGTGCTGCTAAATAATAGATGCCTAGGAACCCCCACCCTCCAAGCTCCTTTGTTCCCAGCTCACCCAGGGAGCTCAGGGCCTCCAGGGTCTCTCTCATGGCAACCAGATGTGGCTCCCCTTGGTGATCAGGCCACAGACCCTAAAGAGAAAAGACAGCCTTGTTCAGAACCTGGATCCTGGGTCTCCCCAGGAGGACTAGGCACAGGAAATTGGATCTGGAGAGACTTTTGAAGATGCATACCCAGTGACATTGAGCCTTCTGCAGACTATGGTTGGCTGTGGACATCAGTCCCTGTCCCCTCACCTGACTGGTCTCTAGAGTCAGCCCCAAGGCCATCAGCAGTCACAGACCACACACCCCAGGGCCTTTGTCTGGGGAAGTACAGGAACTACTTGATTCTCTGGGGAGAGGGATGGACGGTGGGAGGCCAAGGTGGGGAGTGGGAAATTCATCTGGGCCCTCTACCTGTCAAGATCAGAGATAGTGCAATAGAAGTCCCCCGGGGGGGGGGGCAGCGTGAGTGCCACTTTAGGGCTACCAGTGGATCCTAAGAAGGAAGGGTCCTTGTAGAGGTAGTAAATGGCGCTGACTTCCTCTCCCTAAACCCCTACCTCAAAGGGCACTCCCTATTTGTGCCCTTCCCTGGCCCGCCCTCCCCCAGCCTGTTCTCTGCCCCTCCTTCAGCAGACTCCCCTCCCCCCTCCTTGGCAGCTTTCCTTCTGCCCCTCCCCTCTCTGCCTTCCGCCCTCTCTCCCCACCAAATCTGGCAGCCTCCTGGGGCTCCTCCCCCTGCCCCGCCCCTCTGGCTCCTCCCCCTGCGCGTTCCGGCTGGGCCAACCCCTACCGGCCCCCTCCGGGTAGGCCCTCTGCAGCCGCCGCCTCCCCTGACCCTCGGCTCTGGGCAGTCTCTGGCAGCGCTCCCCTCCCCCTTCCTCCAGGGCCTGCCTGCTTAGCTTGGCGAGCGCCACCCCCTCCCCGGCTGCAACTCTCTCCCTTCCTTCCCCCTCCTCTTTTCCTTCCTCCCCAACTCCCGCCCTCCCTCCTCTCAGCTGGTCTCCCCCACCCGCTCGCCCCTCCCCTCTCCTCCCCCACTCTGGTTTCTTCTCCTTTCCTCTCTTCAGTTCCCTCCCCCATCCCCGCACGCCTCTCTCTCCCCAGCACTCCTCCCCATCCCCACCACTCTTCCCCCCTCCC